TTCAAAGAGGTACCAATAACTAACCAAGGTTTTAGGTAATACATGAAAAAGATTGCCTTATATGATCCACCACCTTCCAACAGTAAGGTGAGGATTAATTAAAAAAAATAAAAACTCTAATAAATTAGGATCATTGGTGGCCAGCAAATGGGCACACACATTTACCTCTGCACACATAAAATATTGCAAAACATAAAGATTCTCTGATTTAGAAAAGTATATATCATGTCATTTTTTCTTGTTGAGAATTATCAAAGCAATATGAGCTGAAAAATATTGCATGTTATCACTAGAACTCTCATGAACTGTTTTGCATAAATGTTGTACATTATCCATAGAAAATGATAATTAACCTATACTAAAACTCTCCTTAACTCAACATGCTGCTCAGTTGATGGAAACTCCTCTCATTGTACCACTTCTAGTTTATTATACGTTGTACATTGCTCATGTCACTATTAAGAGTTGTTAGAAAATGCCTTTTGTGTTGTTAGAATTTGCCACTGAGAGTTGCTGATTCATGGCATTGGGAGGTTGCTGTGTCCACAGCTGTTGTGATCACCGGAGGTGGTTACTGTGTTCATCATTACAGAGCTGCTAGAAAGTGACTTCAAATCACTCACCCAGCAAGCCAAGTTAAGAAGCCAGACAAATTAGAATCATAGGGATTCGATTGGTGAGTGAGGAGTTGATAAGTGAGATGATATTTTGGGCCCAAATCTATTAGGGGGTTTAAAAAAACTATGTTTTCGGCTTATTCTGAAACAAAATTGCGTCACTTAATAAGGAAGAGTAGGTTGAATTTATGGCCCAATCCAAATTAAAAAAACAACTTGAGAACTATTTTGGAATTTAGGCTAATATATTGAGCCCAAGGTCAAAAGTTTCTGAGTGCCTTGAAAAAAAAATTAGTTTTGTAAAATTTGTACCCAATTTGTTTAGAAATTATAATGTGACCCTAAGAAAGTTTCTAGAAATTACAAGTTCATCCCTAAACATCAAGAATTGCATCTTCACCCAATTGTCTTCCAAAATTACTGTCTTGCCCTTGAACACTACCAGAAATTTTATTAATGTCCCAAATTTATCCCTTATTCCTTATAGATAGAAAGGATTCATGAAATTACTTTAGTTTGTCCTAAAGGTCATAAAAGCCTTATAATCTATCATGATTTGGATCTTAGTCCATTGACAATGGACATACCCCATAGGTATGCCCTTGTTAATTTATTTATTTTTTGGTTTGGACTTTTGAGGATAGGTATATGCCACTTATGAAGTATTAGATATTTGATGTACTCTATAAGTATAGAAAAATTTATGGCATTTTTTAGAAAGGACTTTTGTGTGAGCCAAATCTATGTGGTATGAGAACTTTTTTGGTACATCATAAGAGTTTCATAATTGAAATTTGCTTATTGAAAATTTTGTATTATAATTATGCTACGCACACATAATTAAATTAATTAACATAACCCTAAGATTAGGGTGTGATTCGTATGTGGACACTTTGATTAGTTATGGATAGCATTATATTAAAAATAATTAGATTCACATTGTTTGTAGATCATGATATTGACACCATTAAAGGTGATAGTCCACTTGTTCAGGGGGCTATATTGGCAATGAGCAAAGGTAATCATTGTTAATGTGTGATGGGGTGTGTGTGGGTGTGATTGATTATGTGTGATTTTATTATGCTAAGTAAATTATGTCATGTATGGAAAGAAATATTCTTGTTTGGAAAATTAATTGTCAATTGGGATTAATTGTACATGAGTATTATGTTTGGTATAACTATTGTGTAGAAGCATATTTTTGTTCAGATATGTTTTTGTGTAGAAATGATTGAAATGTGTATGACTTTTTATATTTGTTTTGAAATATGTGATATTGGGGATTTTGTCCAAAGATCACCTACCATGTGGTAAGCTTTTATTGGACCCAAGAGTGGCTAGCAGCTTGGACTAACTCATCTTTGGCTAGATGATTTAGTTCTAGGCAAATATATAGAGGGATATAAGGTATAGTTATGCAAATAATTTTTGTTTGAATTGTTTAAATAACATATGTTTGGTTATATGCCCACTTAACAATTGCATAGTTAGGTGCATTGCATGCAACCTTGCATATTAATTTTTGGTCATTAGAACCTTTGCTTCTCATTTCTTGTGGTTAACATTTTTACAAGAAAGAGTTCAACTAAAAAAGCACCAAGGGAGTAGTTGGTGTGTATAGAATCCACCTAGTGTAGTTGGCCTTTATTTTATTAAGTTGTATGTAACTACTAATCTTAGGGCATATTTATTGTAAATGAACATATAACTACCTTATTTTTTATTAAACTACTATTTGATTGCCATGAAGTAGTTTTGTGACATTCATGACTGTATTTTGTGATGATTAAATGATTTGCAACATGTTTTGATGAAATGTTTTACTTGTGATGATTTATGTGATGTTTGCATATTGATTGTGTTGGGTGATTGTAACATAACTATAAGATTTTTTACTATATGTATAAATGTGTGGGTGTATATTTGTTGTTTGGAATGTGTAAAGTGGTCAAGTATCCTACACAATGGCTTTGGCGCTAAACCAAAATTCATTAGCTAAATTATTTTATAAGTTTTGTATAGACACTTAAATCACTTAATTTAAATATTTGTAAAGAAAGTTATCCTCATTTGAAGTTTACTATCATTTTGCTGATACAACACCATGCTACAACATATGTTGCATATGTCACGACACATGTCACAAAGGATAGATTTCCTTCTCTCTGTGATATGCCATGGCATATGAAGAATTTTTTTTTTCAAAATTGCCCTATTAAGTTTTTCACTTTTAAAATGGCCTTGTTAAATCATTTTACCCTTAATAAATTTATTTTTTGAATTCTAGCCCAATGAGATCCTATGAGATACATTTTATTTATCTTATATTTTTATCAGTAGTTATTTATTTGAGTTAATTACTTTCTTATCTACCATGGTAGTTCTATTGTATTATATTTAATATTTTCTATTATGATAAATCCCTTTCTATTATGATAATCCAATATGAGAAATGTTTTGTTTGTAAAAACTCTTTCTACCCATGATATGCTTTTATAAAACTGGTTTAGACTCTTAGTTAACATGATAGCCTCTTTTCTATCATGGTAAGATTTCAAAATATTATCTAAAATCTTTTCTATCATGGTAAATATTGGTCGTGTTTTGAAAATTAAATTTTACTATTTACTACTATGATAAATTCTTTTCTATCATAGTATATGTTAATAAATAAAGTTGTTCAGAAAATCATATAAATTCTGAAAAATAGGTATAAATTTTAGAGTGTTATAAATATCATTATGCTCATACAACCAAATTTCTGTGTTGCTATTAAATATGACGACAAATGAATGTAGGCATGGGCTGGCCATAGATTGATTTTGCTCCGTCGTAAAATTCCTAAAGTAATACCTCTTTCCTTCTTTCACAACCATTTGAAATTTCTGGATCAGGGCTTCATCAACTAACTTTCCCCAAATTTTGTTTTGCCAGACATTTTAATAGTGTGCAAAAAGGAACAAGACATGTTACTCTTATCGTTGGTCTGCAAAGGAATCAGGATGGAGAGAGCAGAAAATAGGAAAAGTATGAACACAAAACTATGATGTATAATACTTTTATCACACCTCTCTGTTCATTAAACATAATCAAATACATGCTAATTTTTGAGTTATCTCATCACGTTCTATTTTTGCCATATATAAATTTGATAGAGAACCCATATTTCAAATACTTATAATGTATAAATAAAAATGTCTATTTGAATTTAGTCCAAATCAAAAGGAATAAATGACGTTATAAATTAAATTAATATATAGTTATGTAAAAATATGTTATCACAAAAATAGAAAAAATCTAAATTAGTGGAAACATAGTACTTTCTCACAATCACAGACATGCAATTTTCTTTTATTTTATTTTGTCCAACGAAGTCCAGGAAGTTCCTATTTTGCCCACCCCACCCATTTTCAAATCTCAATCCCAATCCCAATTCCAATCTCTAACATCTTATTTATTATCTTCCATCATCCACTCTAATATTTGTTTGATATATTATTTTGATTTTATTTATAAGTCATTTTGAATATATTTTATCAATATAAAAAAACTTTAAAACTCATTAACTCTGTCTTAAAATTTAATAAATTCTTCTTTACATTTATCAAACATACATGCCTCAACAACACTTTTTTTTTCTCCAACATTAAATAAAATGTAAAAAGTAAAATTTGCAATGAAAATTTATTAATGTGACTTGTAAGTAGGACAAAATTTTTTTTTTATTTACCTTATAAATAAAATCAAAAAAGTATCTTTAACATTGTGCAACTACGAGGTCAATTGTCAATAATATATAACCCCTTTAGAATATCCCAGCAACAAGAATAACAACAATCAATATTCAACGTCATGTCATGATAAGAATTACATGTTTCTAGTACAGATAGTGATAAGAATTAAAAAAAGTCAGCATATCACATTTAATTAAATTTCAAGCTTGATTAGAATGTAAATCGTCTAAATTTTAAATAAACGGCAATAAAAATTAATTTGATAGTTTAAGTTCATATCATCTGTACTTCTTATCGAATGAACATTGTTTCTCCTTACTTGAATCTTCTCCTTTTGCTTGGTTTCTGCAATTTTTGGTAGTTTCAATGTTCCTTTCTGCATCGAAGTTGATTCATCGAATATCAATAAACCTTTTTTTTAATTATTTTTTTTAAGATTTTAACAACACAAGTCAAATTAATTAACAAACATGATTCTAGTTCCCTCACACCATGATTTATATTTATAAATTTGAATTTGGTGACTGTAAGCACTGCTTATACTGAGCTGTAAAAATTCACATTAATAATTTAAATAAACTCATTTATTTATTAATCTCAAATGAAGTATATAGTCAAATTAAAATATAACATTAAGTTCTGAGGAAAATCAACAGAGTTTCTCTTAAAAGCTAAACCTCCTGAAATGCACACACCTAGCTTGTTCAAAATAAAGCAAAATGTTTTAACATCTAAATTCATTCAAACAATAAGACGGCGATTGACATTATACAAGCAATTTGTAACACCTAAACATGGTTCAAGTCTTACAAGACTCTGTAATGATCGATGACCAACGGAGTTACACAAATCTCTGAGGCTTAGCTGGGCTTGGGGAGACCATAAAGGAGCGTTTTGCAACCATATAAGAAACTTTTCCTTGTGTGAACCAAGAAGTTGCTCTGTGCTCACTGCGTTGCTATATAAAAATGGATAAATTCTAAAGATTCTTTTGCAGTGGGAGGATAATCACATGTATATACTCTTCAAGTGTTGCAAGTTATCATATACCCCATCCCAAATTAAAAGCAACCAAAAGCATATATAATACACGTAGCAGTACACGCACGGCAAACACCATATTTAAGAAGACTATCATACACACACATATAAAAAACAAACACCATCCTGAACTTAAAAAATTTTATAATCTACAAATGTGATGCGATGAGACGGACACTGAGGAATTAGATCTGTCAAGAATGGGAGACTGAGGAGAAGAAGCAGAAAAAGACAAGCAAACAGTAACTAAGATCCGTGAGATACGCATGGTTCGAGGCGTTACCAGGGTGTTCGACGATCTTGAGTTACAGATCCGACGTCTTCAGGCGATCTGAAGCAGAATAAGAGGAAAAGGGGGAGACGAGAGTAAGCGAGAAAGAGAGGTTGAAAATGAGAGGAACTAGGAAGAGTCTGGAAGAATGAAGCGGAGTGATTAGGTGAAGACAGATCCGTTATCTTGGACGTTGAAACAAAAGGCATGAGAATGCAGAGGAGCTAACCCCACTGGTTTTTAATGGAAGCAGAATCATGTGGAAGTTAAAACAGAGGATGGCTATTGCAATGATAGAATCGCTCTGTTTTCTTCTGCTTTCGAGCAACCAAATAGGAAAGCATCCCTACTCTAGTTTCTTTCTTTTCTTCAGTTTGGAAAAAGACTTTTTTTTAACCCGTCATGTAGTCCATTTTCACTCATTCAAAAGGAAATTTACGAGTTACATAAATTTTTCATGTCATTCCAAATTCATTCATTGATAATAAAATGTTCATTCATTTCATACAGGACACATGATTTACATTAGTTGAATAAAAGAAAATTTACAAGATATTCAAATAAAATTTATAACAGAAACCTTATAAATAATACTTCCTTCGTTCAAAAATATAAAACATTTTTTGAGAAGTTAGATATTTAAAAATGTAAGAAATTTTTAGTCTTTCGAGGTGTAATCATTATCTTTTTTTTAAAAGTATACCTATTAATGAATGACTTTATATTTATTATAGGGTGTTTATTAAGGATAAATATAAAAAGATAGAGTTAATTTAAAATTAAATAACTACTTTATTAGAAGGTGAGATTCAATTAAAAATACCTTACATTTTTTAACGAAGAGAGTAGTTAAATTTTATTTATTTACAAAAAAAATGTCTATCTATTTTATAAAGGAACAGTTTCATCTTTTCACGCGTGGAATCAACTCCTTACAGGTGTTTGGCTTTCTTACAAAACCACTTATCCCTTATGTTCTTCCCGGCCATAGCGCGACAAGGAAGAACATCACTCATCGGGAATCCGGTAAGCCTATTGAGGACTAGAATCTACCATTGCTGTCCTTCGAGGAGTCTGCAGCAACCAACATCAGCCGTGCAGAGGAAAGTCTATCAATGTTGATGGAATGTCCTGTATCTGTATACACCATACATCATTATTGGAGGAAGTTTGGTGATGCATTTGACCCATATTTGGAGGCCCTCTTGCATAGTCAGTCACAGTGCAAACAAAGAGAACTAGGAACACTAACGATGATCTGTTTGAGTTCACTTGTGAAGTTTACTTTGGATACATTTAATGAATGGGTCAAGGATCAAGTTTACTTTTGAATATTTACATGAACTGGGATAACTTCTGTGAAGCTTTATGCGTTTTGATGGTGATTATAGGTAAGTTCACTTTATATGTGTTATTCAAAATTTGAAAGAGTGGACCGTTATTTTGTAAGCAAGTGGAATGAATTATGTGTAATATCTTCTAGGGTTAAAGGATAAAAATACCTAACAACTTTTTCTCTAATAGCACCCAAAATTCTTAAATGAATAAAGATACAAAAATACCTATGAGCTTGTTATAATGATTTTGCAATGATCCTCATTCCATTAAATTTAACCAACTATTAACATTAATCGCTAAAAAAAGGAACAAACATATGATGTAAAAATATCTATAATTTTTTTTTCTCTATAAGCTTATATCCTGAATCAAAGTCAATAATGACGAGCTTATGTCCTAAATTAAAGTCAATAATGGTGAGTGGGTACCCATTAATTTTGTAAAATATGCCAACCTTCCCCAATTCATTAAGTTGTATTTTTAGAACTTCATGGTCAAGTCAAGTTATTTTAATATATTTGGAAAAGTATAGGTTAAGCTTGATAGGCCATGTCAAAGAAGCTTGAAAAATTTTAGGATTGAACTTGAAAGTTTAAAAAATTTTCTTTATTTTAAACTTATTTGGACCGCCTGAGTAATCTTGAAGAAATCCAAACCAAGCTCAAATCCAAATAGCCTTAGCCTAAATAGCAAATTAATTTTTAGTATTAATAAAATAAAATTACAATTAGATAAAAATTAAAAATCTTATTTTTTTAAGATAAAAATTGAAATTGAATGGAAAAGAAAAAGAAAATAAAGTAAAATAATATTTAACAATTCATTTATATGGCTTATTTTATAAAGTTAATAGATATCCATGTACCATTATTGACTTAAAGATATTAAAAGCTCTTAAAGAAAAAATTTTAGGGTATTTTTACACCTTATATTTGTTTTATTCTTTTTTAAAACCATCAACATTAATGGAGGTTAGTTAAATTCAATATAACGGGTACTATTGCATTAATTATAACAAATTCATTGATATTCTTGTAGCTTTGTTCACTTAAAAATACTTGGGGGCTATTTTTATAAAATTAAAAAAGAATACTGGATGCTTCATAGAGAAAAAATTATTGGATATTTTTGTTCATTAATTCTATCTTTTATTTTTAATTCTCATCTCCACTATGGTTTATATATTGCAGCTAGGTGTTGCATTTTCACTTTTTAAGAACATAATAAACTGAAAACTGAGTAAATCACTTTACTCTCTGGATAAGATATATAACCTCTCTTTTTTCCCAGTATCTATTCTCTACGCATAAGTTAACCCAATTTATTGAATCGACTAATACCCTGTTCCTGTAATTTATTACTCTCATCAACGTGCTCATTGAACCTCTATTTGTTGGTGGATTAAAGTTTTGTGGAGGATTTGGTCAACATTTATGTTGCCCTGAATTGACATCTTTTTGTGTGCTTGGGTTTGTATGCTTGACAAGTATGGTGTTTTGCGTGGAGAGAAAATGATACATAGAGTAGGAGAGTTTCATTTGACTAATTCCCATCAATTTTAGATTCAAGGAAATAAATCAAAATCATTTTTATAAACAATTTTTTTGGATAAGCTGATATTTAAGAAAAGAGTAATTGGGTGTTGTTAAATTTTTCAAAAACTTAGCCCAAACCTAATGAATAGTAAACAACAAAAAATAGAGTGAAAAAGAGACTATGATTGGTTCAGAAATTGAATGGGAGAAAAATACTTTGGGTTATTGCTTCAAGTCATGGTGCTAGTACACGGAAAACACTGCTCTGAGCCTTCAACAGAACAAAGGAAAATAAATGGCAGGTTACAAATGTTTTTTATTTGTGTTAATGGTAGTGTCCCAATGGACACATGTTTCTTCCCTTCCGCACGTTTCTTCTCGTTCCTTCATTGTTGTTGTTTCATTTCATCCGCCCAAATTGTTTTTTAATTTTATTATATGATTTATAATTTATATTTATATATAATTAATTTAATAATTTATTATTATGTTATAAATAAATAATTTAGTAATTATTATTTATTTTTTTAAATTATTCATATAATAATAATAATAATTTAAATTGTATTCTTAATTATTTGTGTTTAAAAATAAAAATATTTTTTAAAGAAATAATCTAAAATTATATTTAATTTATAATTAAAGACTAAGATGTTGGATAGGCTGGCACTTAAGAGGAAGGTGAATTGGATGACACTTAATAATTTTTGAAAACTTAAAGAGTAAAAAACTTTAGTGAAAAGTAAGAAAATGAAACATACAAAATTTATCTTGATTTAACCTCAAACTTGACCTACATCTATTTCTTAATATCACACTTGAGATTTCCAACTAAAATACAAGCTTTAATGGGTGCTTGCCAATACAGTACAATTTATAAGACTTAACTTATCTTGATTCACTTAACAATCCTTGCTATATAATCTAGCAAGTTGTTACAAACACTTGAAAAACTCTTTTTCAAGATTTTAGAAGTAAAAAAAATAAACTTTAACAAAAAAAACTCTCCTAAAGAGTAGGTAGATTATAAATGAAAGCTTATAAACTTGTGAGAGCTTTTCACAATTCTTTTCAAGAATGATGAATGAATGCCAAATGTTTAAGCATAATTTGAAAGCTTTTTGAATGCTCAGATAAAGAAAAGTTCGCTCAAGGATCAAAAGTTCTAGTTCAAACTTGAATTATATCACATATATAGTTTTGGCAATTGACAGACCATTAGAACAGTGTTACTAGCTATTGGTGTCATTTCTCACATGTATCCTGACATATCATGCATGAAATGGCTTGTATAAAAGTTACAGATATGAGTATGTGACGAATCAGGCGTGAACCTCAAGGTGTCTCACGTGTGGTTTAGAGTATATATAAATATGCAATCTATTTTGTGCGTAGAAACTCGCGTGCAACCCTCTTGCTCTCACGTGTAGTTTGGCTAATAGAAAGCCAAAACCAGCTATGTGTGACAAAACTTGCGTGTGACCTTTTTGTCCTCACACATGATTTGGCTGGTAGAAAGCTATGGCTAAATCTGTATGACAGAACTTACGTGAAACTAACATGCTCTTATGTGTGGTTTGGCTGGAAAAATGCCAAAGCCAATTTTGGGTAACAAATCTCAATTGGAAACAACAGACTATCAATCATGGAATGACTTGTTTCAAACCCAAACCATTTGGGAAGAAAAATCACTTGTGGAACACAACACTCACGCATGAAATGGAAAGTTACAAAACTTAAACCATTTTGGAATACATATCACGCGTGGAACCATTATGCACTCAAGCAAGATTTTGTATGATCAAGAGATATAGAATTGTAAATCACAGATCACACAAGTATGCAAATTGAACTTCACTTGAAACAATATAAGACTCAATTTGGTAAGATGTGTTCAAAGGACTAATGAAAAATCACGCTTGGTTATCATCTACTCTCACGTGTGAAATGGCTTATGACAAAAGCAATGAAATACAACTTTGACAAAATTTGTGTGTAGACCAAAGGGTTGCTTGCATGATTTGGAACACAAAAGCAATGTCAAAGCATCAAACGAGCACAAGTGACAAATGACGTGCGGATCACTCTCTAATTCAAGTGTGAAATGTCAGTTGTTGTGCCTAACATGCTAAATCATGCATGTGACCCTATAGAATCACACGTGATATTGCAGACAGTGAAAAGCCAAACTTCTATGAACCACTGCAAGCTAAAATGACATAACTTGCAAGCTTGAATGCATTAAGATGAGACTTAATATACATAAATGAGACTTATGAGCTAAAGATGATGCATTCATTTTAATGATAATGAAAAGAGATTAAGCTCTCAATATTTTCACATTGAATCTAAGAGATTTAAACAACTTATCCTATATATCTTTATCTTCTCTTAATTCTTCATGTTTTTGAAGTTGTTCTTCATCTATGATTCTTTATTTCTCTACACACATGACAAACATCCCT